ATCAATCTAACAGAAATATTTACATACATTTTGTATTATAATATTAGAGTGACAAACAGAATGAGAAAAAGTTGTTCGTGGTTGTAGTAGTTAAATTCATTTGAAGTCAACAGGTCGAACACGACATGAATTTTATCTGAACATGACCACTTTTAGTCTTTCCTTTGAGAAAAAAAATAAGATTATTTTTATATTAATTGTGATATTGTTATTTCATATACTTATACCAAGCGATTCTTCTATTATTCAACACTCATTATAGTATTGATACTATAAACATTGAAATATGTTTAGATTTTAATTTAAAATGTTAAATCTAAATGAATAAAAAAATAATGAATATCAAATTAGTTTAGATTAGGTATATGATTCAAAAAGGTCATATTTTCCTTATTTAAATATGTCAAGCAGAAATATTATAAAGTTTTACCCTCAAAAATTGTAAACCTTCCCCCAGTTAATTTCATTTCCACTATTTTATTTAATATACATTAATACAATTAACCTTAAAACCAAATATTTCTTCTTTTCATTGATTGACTTTATTATTATATATTTATTTTTTTATTTTTATCAAACCCTACGAGTTCCGCCAATATTTCTTCATTGGCTCATAGGTGACTGGAAGTGTAAGCTCCAAAACAAGGACTGAAATTTTATAAGCATAGCATGCATGCCAGAACTCTAATGTCAATATTTTAAGTTTTATTTAAAATTAAATTGATAATTTAACAAAACATAAAAAAATATTGGTAATTATTTATTACTTTATTATATTATGTTATCCTTGCCAAAAAAAATGACAATCTTATGAACATTACATACTTTCCTAGAAAATATTGCTATTGTTATCCCTAATTAATTTACAGAATTTCTCCAGTTTAGGTACTGCAGAGATGATCAAAGTATCCAGTTAGAAAGATTACTACAGTGGTAACCGAACGCTTCTCTACGAACCAAGTCAACTCACATCCTTCTCATAATTAATATAACTGTTGCTTAAATTTTTCGTATTATTATTTTTTATAAATTTAAAATGATTATGTGAAAGATTACACTGTTAGTATATTGTTTTGCTATAGACAGTCCATTAAATTATGTTACACAAATTATGTTACAGTCCAAATTGTTTATTATTATTGTATATTTTATTTAATTTGTATTGTTATTACTATTATAAAATTACCATTACGTATTTGCTATATTTAAATTACCACATGCTTTTATTTTATTTTTATTATTATATTTTTTTTGCTGTAAATTAATACCGAAAAATTGTTATATCCCTCCCGATACAACATAATTTAAATTTTTTGGATATTAATGCCCATGTGTTTGCTATAGATATCTCCATAAAATGTCTTTCCCAAATTATGTGATGGTCAAAATTATTTATTAATTAATATTTGTATTACTATTATAATATTACCTTGGTGTATAAGCCATAATTAAATTACCTAAATTGTTTTAATTTGTATCATTACATTTAATTTCCTGTAAATTTATATCAAATATTTAGTATTTCCCCTTTCTCCCATTTTATTTAAACATTATATTTTATATCTAAATGTTATATACATTAACATTATAATCTTAATTTTATACTACTAAAATGTATATTCAAAGTGCCATCTATTCTCTTTTAATATTATTATTATTTTATTTTTAAAAAATTTTTGAATAGCACAAAGCGGCTTGGCTCATAGTGTTCCTCTTGGCTAGTCAACGCGTAGTAGTCCCCAAACACGCCGAATCGTTACAATACATATTTATATACACACAATAATATTATGTCCTCAGCTTTGAAATCATTTTTATCGACCTTCACAAATTTTCAAGTTTCGTAATGTAACTTGTAACTAGACTAACTTGTTGACTATAGATTATGGGTTCGTCCTCATATTATAATTATCCTATAAAATATAAATAATGGGATTGATCTGTCACCTGTGGGCTTCTCAGAGTTGGTGCATTGTACTTTTCTTTCTATGGTATATGATTATTCAGCTGAATAATTTATAAACATTATAGGGTGATATCATAGACTTTCAACCTAGTTCAGTAATAAATAATATCGACCGGATAACCATAGCACGATAAGTACAACGCACAAACGCTGAGTACCGTACAGAAGCTCACAGGTGACGAATTAAACCCATTATTAATATGATTGGTGACAGTGTGTTAATAAAGATACACAAACTCAGTATAATAGTAAAATTGACAAACGCATGTTAAAATTGTTTTTATTAAATGAGGGCACCTTTGAAATATATGAAATAAGAATCAGAAACTCAAATGTATAATGATAAATGATGTCGAATCGAGATTGATTCGTCGAACTACGTCTAATTGTATTAATTTAAAGAGGTATTCTTCACCAACCACAAGTCGAAAGAACCTGGTAAATAACTTAAGTAGAAAAAGTAAAAAAAAAGTTGGTGTCACTCTGCTGTACAGTAGGTTAAAAGTGGGTCACTGTTATAGATTGTGTTAAATTTTAATTCAATGATTTAATATCATTGTATAAGAAAAACGATTCTGAGGGAAGACAGTCAGTCAGCCTATGATATATTAGTATATTACTAAGTATATTTGATGAAAAATAAATTATTCCATTGTTTCCTAAAATATAATTGATAAGCCTTTAATGATTTCTTTCACTGTAGGTATTTCTTATTATTTTTTTTTTTTTTAATACAACTTAATTACCTGATTTTGATTTAAACTTAATAATTATTTTTTTTTTGTCTGTGATACCTAAGTATGGTAAATATCAGTAGCTGTATGCCTGTTGTTACTTGTTTTAAGTAATCAATTTATGTCTGTATATTGGTAAGATTACTATACATAATTGTACACACTGAACTATAATATAGATTATAGTGAATTGCTGAATAAAAATACACGGAATAAAATCCCTAACTCCCGGGCTACAATATTACTGACCAAAACATGAAATTGATTGATCAAATACTTTTTAAAAGCTAATTAGTAATTAGTGTAGTATTTGTAACTAAATATATGAATAATGTGGTAATTACACTTATTAGTTTTTCAAAAATATTTGCTCAATCACTTGCATGTGGCTGTGAGTAATATAAACATTAAACTTATATAGTAGTCTTGGCATTTTTATTCTGGTTACCACAGACCGTATATTATTACCTATTGTGAAAAATGAAACTTGAGTAAATTAATATTTGGTCTTTTTGTATGATTTTTATATTTTTAAGAGGATATATATGGGAATAGGGGGTGCATATTGCCTGGTTACTTTTTTTGTAATATCATGTTGGGGCTACAGTTGCGCCACTGGTATGAAAATATATTATGTTCTGTATAACTATATCATAGAAAGTGATTATAATATGCCTATATATATTTGTTAATGCACAATAATAATACTATTATAGGATACAAATAGATACTGTGAGAAGTACTATTAGAGAGTTTTGAAGTACAGGCACCGGCCGTATCTATAATCGTTATACACAATATTTCAATTATGATCGTGAAGGCCGTCAGTGTAACTATTGTTAAAAAAAATGTTGTACAGTTATAGGTATTCAAACTAAAATGTAGGTAAATAAAAGTGTTCACATAAACGATTTCATCCCATATTTATCTAAAAAACACATTATACTGGGTACATACATAGGTACACTACACTTACTAAAAAAAAAAATTTCTAATTAACTAACTTCTTAAAATCAATAATAAAAATTTATAATATACATAATATTATTCCTACAGCCATGGTGAAATACATTGGTAATGTGTACAATGGTCAATGACTAAATATTATTTAATTGTTTCAATAAGGTAAATAAAAAGTAACATGGAATAATTTTACTAATTAAATTAAGTACCTATTTATGGTTATATTTTGTTGAGTGCCACATGGCTCTTGCAAGTGCGAGTTTTTGAAGGCCTATCAAACTTAAATGCATAAGGCCGGCCTTATAGAGCAAATCGGACCTTGTTTCTTATTGTTTTTCGATTACTGGTAACACAAAACATTTAATAGGATTAATGTACCTTTTATTTCAAATCAGTAAGTATTTTGTTACGTAGAATGTGTTGCCAGAATGTGTTAAGAAGATGATCAATTTCCACAGACTTCTACTACTTTTATATATAGAAATCTGTGTCAATTTCATATTTGTTTGTTGAATGAATTAAGTAAAGTTAATTAATTGCATCGTAGTGATACTGTGATAGCCAACCGCGGACGTCGTATTATCACGGTCGAACGTGATCATCACACAGATTTCTATATATTACTAGATAGCGAACTCCGGTCTTGAATAATATTGAAGCTTCAAGGTCGGTGGGCAACTGTATGGTATTTTATTAATTCTAAACATGTTGTTTAAAAAAAAAATATATATATTTTATATAAGTAATTTTACATTTACTATTTTATTTGACCATTAAAAAAAAATATTATTCCTCAAAAATGTTGTATAATAAATTTTTTTTTTTTTGCCAACCGACAAAATGGCGGCCGTCACAGCTGAGCTTCACTTGTAACAATGTAAATTGTATAGGAGTTCCTTATCTAGTGTAGTATAATAGAAGTCTGTGGATCATCATAGAAAATAGAAGAATTTTCTATTATCTATGATCGTGCAGATGGATGATTCGCGGAGTCAGTTCATAGACTTATAGGTTAGTAACCTTAAATGTGTGTTTAAACTAGATAAGTGTGTGTGTGTATGTGCATAAAAATACTTGAACCATGAAATCTATGATTTTGGTTGCAAAAGATTTCCGATAACCTATTATCATGTTTAGATAAAATATTTTGTCACCACCTACTTACTTGTCTTTACTTATTTTTCTATGACCTAGTCTATGCTTAATTGGTTAATATTATACTTAAGTAAAAATCGTAAAAGTACTGAGTAGTAGGTAATAATATACACGACCTTCATTTATATATTATTGCTCGTTTGTCTACATCTGACGATTCAACACAGATTACACAAAATAAAATGGTTGCTGCAGATGAAAATACACCCAAGCAGTTATTGGAAAATGACCCAAAGAAGGTATGTACAATTAACCATGAAAATCGACAAACCCAGAAATGACCATTAATACACATTGAATATATTCAACGTAATAGCTTATAAGTTATTCCTACTAAATCATCTACCAAACAGCAGTTTCAGAATATGAATATTAAGAGTATGTCATATCCGCATGACGTGTTGTATGTCTAAATTTATTTCCTGCAATTCCAATCATAAATGTAAAAATTTTATCTGTGTTCTCTCTTTGGGATTTTACAATAATTTAATTTTGAAGTGAATTATGAGTATATCTATGTAAAATATGAACATTAGAAAATGCACATAATTCACTTAAAAATTAAAATATTCTAAAAACCCAACGAGAGAACACAGATAATCACAGATTCTTTCAGTTAGGTTTAATTGGAATTGCATAACACACATGCGGGTATGACATCCTCTTGAGTAATGACTATTAATTCATTAATTTAGTTTATCAATTGAAAATTAATTAATCAACGAATAATAACTTCTTAATGTTTTGTATCTGATTTTCATGCTACATAAATTTTGTTTAATTTTTATAGAAACACAATCATGACTGCCAGGGATTCAAAAAAAAAGCTGAGGAAGAAATAGTGAGATTAAGATTAGAAATCGAAAAACTTAATTTTAGAATCAACAATATAGAGCATTTGATAAACTATTTCGACTCTAAAAAATTGGGTGACCAAAGGTAGATTACTGTTTTTTGTAAGGCTAGTAGGCAATGTTGGGTAGTAACATAACACAAATTACAAATTACTTTAACTAAATTACTCTTTCAGTAACGCTGTAGAAATTTCATTATAATTTATTTAAATTAACCCAATTTTAACAAAATTACTTTTTAAATGTAATTTACCCAACACTGCTAGTAGATATACAAAAATTAATGTACTGAATTATTTTTTTGTTCTGACTCAAATTATAGTATTTTATTTAAAAAATGACTTGATATTTTTAAATTCTTATAAGTACTTCAAATAATAACTTTTACTTTGTAATATTATTAACATATCTCAAATTATGCAATTGTAACTATTTACTTATTTTTAAAAATAAAATATTCCGTATGAAATAAAAAACCAGAAATATATTATATAAAATAAAAACAATGAATTGGATAAACTTTATTGTTCAATTTTTTTTCATCTTTCCTGTTGTTGTTCCGTATATCTTTTTCGCTTTTACAGACAGATAAATTACAAGTTGCATAAGAACCGATAGTAATAATGTTTTATAAACTTAGATTTGACATTACAATATTTTTCACAGAGTGGGTAATTCATTTTAATGTTATTACTTATTATATCAACAATATTACAATTTGAGTTATGTAAAAAAATAAATGTAGAAAAAAAAATATTTTCTAGACTAATTCACAATTAAACATTAATAGTACTGTATTGATGCAAGGTTCTTTCAATCATCTTTTATTTTGTGTAAAACTTGTGTTTTTCAAAAAGATTTTCAGTTCCTAGGGATCCGAGATCTACCTCAGGTAGATTACCTACCTGATAATATATTGCTGCGAATCAGAATTTTTATTCCTGGCAACTGAAATTTAAGATAAATTTTTAACGGCATTCACCGGATATTAAATAACGAATTGAACAAAGTTTAGTCGTATAGAGTTGGTACATTTAACAAGCAATGAAGTGCACGGGATCAGCTAGTATAATATAATAATATAATATGTTATTATTATTTGTAATGTATTTATTTTTTTAAATTTTATACTTAGCAATGACAACGAAATCTAAAAATGTAAATGTATAATATTTCACTTACCTATTTGCACTATGGTAGTGAACATAATTTTGTTCGGCAATGTTCGTGGTTTCACCAAAGGTTTTCAAAAAAGCATTGCAAGTTTCAATATTGTACATCGCCATTTTAATGACCCAGAAGCCAAAGGTCTATTTACTTTAGAAAATTTAAATTTGTCTAATGGTACCTATATATTTTCCACGTTCTGATTCCATAAATTGAGCCATTAAAGGTACGTGCGCATAAGACTTTTGGACGTGTACCTACTCTGTACATAAACACATGATTCAAACCTATTATTTTATATTTTATATAATATTCTCAAATAAAATATTATAATATATTATAATATTATATAATATTATTCCCAATAAAAGCTGATAAGATAATATGACATTATTAACGATTGTCGTCTGATACGACTGTTCCACGTTCGAACATTTTGTTATTTTCAAGTACTAATAACACACCGTGAACAGTACGGGCGCGAGTCAGTGGTACAGTATTTTCCTGGCGGAATTTATCACGTATCTCAATACTTTGTGGTCACGATGGACATATTTTGCTATAGTGGTGATAGTGCTAAATATTACTAATAATATCATACCATAATACTATCACTGAACGGCGAACAATATTATAATATAAATTGTTATAGGCACAATATTACGAAAAGATAGGCGGGTAACGGGGTTCAGGGATCCGGGCTACAAATGCCCTGGTAGTCGGGGCTCGAGGCACGTCTTTCTTCACCATCAACAGCTTACTACTTATCATAAAATGTCTATAGATAATAAGTATATAATATTATTATCTATAAACCTTGTACAAGATCTACATTTTATCCACATCGTGTTCTCGACCAGATCAGTTGACGGTAAACGGCAATAATATTGTATCAAATTATTGTACTCGGTAAGATAATAATATTACCGTTTTGCCGTTTATTTTTCAAATATAAATATTTTGTTCCCATCCCATTGGAGGAGAATAGACGGTGCCGTAAACGTGTAAAGAAAATCAAGATTTTCAAGGGTCCTTTTCGAGATTTTTCAGTGACACCAACTTAACAAAAAAAAAGCTCGGAACATATCGCTGCGCAATATTAATTATTATTTTATTGGTGATGATCGAGAGCCGGCGCTTACCGTTCACGGCTATAGCCGATACGGGACGGCGATGGTATCGACCACGTATTATTTGTGGTCAAATCGGTGATAACGAGAGTCACGTGATACCATCTACGACAAACACAGATATAGATAATAAATATTATCTATAATATCTGTGACGACAAATAACTACGAAAAACGGAAAATGACCGTCCGCACATAACCGCGTATTGCGAATTAGCCGTGCCCATAATGTAGGTAATATTATTGTTATTTGAGATTAATTATTGAGTACGTCTTGATTCGCGCATGAACCTAAGTAATACTCCTGTTTTTTCCCGTATTAATTGTTTCTTTTTTTTCCTTCGTACCTATTGTGTCGTCAAAATTATCGGCAGCTGATATCTACCCACCTGCGAGTATTCCGTGTGTTCCGCTTCAGTACTTGTTTTGTTGAAAATGAGCAGTCCGATGAATTAATATTGTAAAAAACTGCTAATATCTGTCTGTGTTTGGCCACCTTAAGTATGGAGGAGGAGAGTAAGTGAAAACAAACTAATCCAGAAATATTTTGTGCTGCAGCTTGGACTTCTATATTGAATTGAACGGTTCTAAAATTTATTTAACTTGCCGTTTCATTTATATTTATTTTTTTGTTATGTAAAAATAACGTATAATGCATAATACGAATTTGAATGATTTTTCGTATATTGTTTTTGTAATATAATAACAATTATCTAATTTTTTTTTTGGCTGAATTGTTGCAAGGTTTGTGGTTACCGAACATGGAGCTGTTACCTGTATTGGAAAATATTTTTACAAGTAAAATACCCGATGTAGCGTTTTTAAAACGTATTTTACGTGCTGCTAAGCCAAATTTGTTGAATGTATTTAAGAATCCAGTAAGTCTTTATTGAACAATATTTTAATCCTAAATTATAAATTACATTTTTACATTAAAACAAACAATTTTAGCCGAAAAATCTGAAAAGTCGAGAAGTAATAATGAAATTGTTGGTAGATGGAAATCCAATTCCGAAATTTGAGATGTTGGCATTAACTAGAGATATGGCCGAAGAAGTGCTTATTCTCTCGGATATGTATGATTTAGATGAACTCAAGTCTTTGGAACTTTTAAATACTGGTAACTGAATATCCGTCTTTATATATATTTCACAGATTTTAAGTATATGATTTATTTGAAACAAAAATATGATGCATATAACAATGAATCATTTTATCAAATAGCTAATTCATTTATTTGAAAATATATTTTAATTCATATTAAAATAATAAAGGTTGGGATTTTTTTAATAATAGCTCGGAACCAAAATCCAAAATATCCAAAACTTTGCCGAGGTTTAGTAGCAGTATTGTTGTATTATAATGCACATCGCAGACTAGTGTCTTGTTTGAGACTTCTCATTGAAGGAAGCATAGGTCGTACTTGGATTCCACGTATAGATCCAGCATGTGCACAACATCTTGGCAAATTTGTTCATCAACTAATGAATGATGGATTATTTACTAACATATTAAGTACCTAATTATTATACTTAATTTTAAATTTAACAATATTTTTACTAAAACTGTGAATATCTTATTTAGTTGTACTGGAGAACAAAGATTTAAGTAAAGAAATTGAATTACTTAGAAAAAATAAAGCAATTGGTGGTCCAAAACATCACCAAAGTGTTGTGAGCTTATTTACTGATATTTGTACAATGTTAGCAGAATGTGTATTTTATTATTCTATTCAATTTGGATTATCAAAAGAACAACTAATTAGGTAAGTTAAACAATTTTGATTTTTAATTTTTAATTAAATCAGAAATTAAGAGGATGTGATACCCGCATGTGTTGTCTCCGTCTTACAAGTGCGTAACATAGCAAACTCTACGCTGAGCCGAACACGTGCAGCTCCTTTATTTTAAAAATTTGAGTGAATAGATATCTTATAATATCTAAAGGTAAAGCTATTATGAGCTTTTTATTATATTTTTATTTTAAAGCTAGTTATGTGTATTTTAAGATGTAAAAACAATTTACAATTTTAAAATACTCATAACTTGCTTTAAAATTAAATTAAAATAAAAAGCGAATGAGGTTGCCTATATAATAATCTTACCTTTAGATTTTATAAGATATCAATTCACTCTAATTTTTAATTGTTAAGGGTAAAATTTTCTAGTTACGCACTTGTACGACGGAGACAACACTGCGGGAATCACGTCCTTTTAACTAACTTTTTAATCCTCATTTACATTATTTATCCTTTACAAATAATATATTTTAATTTATTTAGGTTATTACAACATTTGAAAAATATAAAACCAGATGTAGAATCCCACGGAGTTGTTAGTAAAGTACCTTTATATATGGTCACATCATTTTTATATGCTATTGATTTGGATTTTATGAAGAATACTAAAGAAATTAGTGGTGGTAAGTTGGCAAATGATGAAATTTACTTAATTTGTATTATTTCTAATTTTTATAAAACATATTTTTAGATGCTAAGGAACTATTTTTATCTGCGGCATACTTTGAACTTATTACACATAATTGGGAATGGCCTGAACTGAAAAGTATAGCTACTTTTGGATTAGCTGTAGCATTCTCAAAATTACATTATTCACAACATGTATTTAAGGATAAAAGGTTATACAAAATCGACGAAACATTAATTTGCTGTGCTTTGGATACAAAAGTGTTTAGATTTTTATTCCAAAATGTGGCTCCTTCAGAATTCCTTTATTATGTGGTATGTTTTCTACTTGTTATGTATATTGCTTATTTTAAATCCAACAAAGTATTTTTAATTTTGTATACTGTTAAGTACTTAAAATTTTATTTTTGTTCTAAAGACAATAAACATTAAATATTGAACAAGTCATTCTGTTTTAATTATATAATTTAGAAAAGCAATTTATATTTTAGGAATTCATGATAAAAAGATTTCATCAATTAATCACGGAATTTATTGTTATGATGTCAAATACTGTCAAAAAAATTAGAAAAAAATCCGATGAAATATCTCATAAACATTTTATTGATTACAAAGTAATTTATGATTAAAATATTTTGAGTGAACTCCTTTTATTAAATAAATTGCATTTTTAGGAAGGAATAGACGCATCAACAAGTGATGAAAATCATTTTGAACAATTATTAATGTTTATGGCAATATTGTACGAAAAAGATCCATTGGGATTAAATTTAAATTTGGATTATTGGCCACCATCTCGGGAACAATTAAAAACAATCAAGGTGTCATCATTTCTAACGACTCAAAAATTCCAAGTATCTTTATACAGATTTATTTGTCAAACTGGTGACATGTTGCCTCATATGTTATTCGTTCCATATTTAAATATGTTAAGCTCATTAGCAACATCTGAAACTAGTGCTGAAAATGTGTTTAATCACTTTAATTCTAATATAACTAATTCAAATCTTACTTGGGATCATTTTTTCAAAACTTTTTTTAAGTATTATATAAATATAAGACAAAAAACAAATCCTCTATCTGACGCTATGTACAAAAGAGATCATCAAAAAGGTGTTACTATGCTTGAAATACAAGGACTTCAAGCTGTATTAAAACTTATCAGAAATGTAGCAGGTGTGTACCATTATTTTCTATTAACATCTTGTTAATATTTAAATAATATATTTTTTGTCGCTCCTGTACCGAATGTTTAATTTTCTATGCTAGCTGAAGTGTTAAAAAATTACTTTTCTCAGTCCATCTAACAGCTTATGTTTTATTCTGATCACTATAGCGTGAAAATAAATGTTACGGTTCATATCATATTAATATACATGAATATAGATACGTTTTGTCTAATATAATAATATATATCAAATACTAGTTGGTGGGTGGGTAGTCGTACTGTTCTATGAAACAGACTGAAATAGCACATTTGCCACATAATATACTATGATTTATGTAATACAGTATATTATATATAATTAATTATAATTATGGGTATATATTTTTAGAACAAAGCATCAAGTCAAAAGTAATTTTTGTGGACCATTCCGAATGGGAGACAATCCGTGTTTTATTGGGCCTTGTATCTTGTCCAGTAATTATTTCTCTCAAGGCAGATTTAATTTTGACATTATCTACATTAGTTAAACCTCCACCATTAATAAAATCTATCAATTTTTGGCAAGCTCTTGAAGCATCTCAAATAATTGTAACTGTACCAACTATAAACAGCCATCACAGTTATAGTATCATGGTAAATATAATCTGATTTAAAATCATTTTAGTTAATGTAATTCACTTATTTTTTCTTACAGGCAGAGTTGAATGATCTAGAACCTCGCAACGAAGAATACCCACTGACAATTGCTTTATTGAAATTATTGTTTACTCTTACAGAACAGCCAGTACCAACTCTTTTGGGTTCGAATACCCGAGCACCTGGTTTTGATCCATATTTAAATTTGGTTTTAAATAATATCTTTTTGAAATGTCTTTCTAGAGGTTATAAAAAACAAAATGAAAAAGTAAATGAAATTCATTTTTTATATTTTTTAACACATTATAATATATCTATTATTTTAAAGTGGGAAGTAAGCGGATTATGTCTAAAATTTGCATTAAAGTTTTTGAACCAATATGAACCCCAGAAAACAGACCTTATGGGTAGTAGTGATATGCTACCAGATAATGCTGCTATTAATATCAATCCACCACCTGGATTTCATATCATGACATACTTGTGTACAAATTCTGACTTTTTAAGAACTGTAAGATTTTTCTATAATATAAATTATTTAAATATAATATATTATCACCTAAGTGTATAATCAATTTTTAGATTTTAAAAATAATGCATATGGGCTGTCAAATGTTTGATCTTTATACCTCATTTAGTGGTAAAGAAGCTCTGGAAAAAACCACATTAACTGTATTACACCTTTTAGAACGGGCTTTAAATTTGCAGCAAATATTTTTGACTGAATCTAATTCTTCTCGTTCATCACTTAAATATATTGGTTTACATAAAACTCTTGTTAGTATTAATGTTTCAACAAATGAACCAGATTATATAATTGATTTGTCAAAGTTAGTATAAACCTTTTAATTTAAGTTTTTTATTTATATATTTCTAAATTTTTGTTTGAAGGTTTGTAACTTATAAACATTTACCAGAGCATGCACATCATGCTATTCAAATATTGATGACTATAACTTCTTATCCGATATCACAGTCTCGTATAGTATCATATCTTACTTCCAATGATCAATTTGCGATCAATATTAGATATGGATTTGTAGAATGTCTAGAAGAAGATGAATCAACAAAGGTAGTATATAATATAATGTATTTACTATCAGAGGCAGGTTCAGGAATTTTGAATGGTTGGAAGGGGGAGGGGGGGGGTTTAAATTGTTATCAGGGTAAATTGCCTTATCCAAAATTGAGAAATATAATAATTATAGTATGTAAAAACATATAATTTTGTCAAGTGTCAGTGGTCAAATTCTGAGGGTATAGTGAATGAATGTATTGTATTTACAATAATGTGTTTTTTCTATCGTTCATCAACATTTGTGGTTGTAAAAATGCTCCGATTTCCAATATCAGCAACTTTTCTAACAGAAAAGTGAATCTAGTTGGTGCATTCGGGAGGTCTGCAATTTTCCATTAATTTGTGATATCATCGGCCAAAATAAAAAAAAAAATGAATTTTTATGTAAGACTTTTTTTTTTGGTGTTATACAAAAACTAACAATGGTTAACATTTATATAAGTATTTTCCATGTATGGAAACTTTTTCGAAATATTTTGATTAATAATTTTATTTATTTATAATTTTATATCTTGTATTAAAATAATCATGTTTAATTTAAAATATAATATATTGAATTGAAGTTTAAAATGTTGTTACCGTCATATAATATATATATATATATATACATAATAGTAATTTTTTTAATTTTTAGTTTTTAGAAGAATCAAATGATATGTCTAGTGTAAAAAAAAGTAAAGAGACCATTATAAAACTGTTATTGCAATGTTCAAATTTTTCGCCTCCAAATCTGGCATATTATTTACTTGGTTTTAATTTAGATAATGTACAAAATACTTGTTTTGAAAATGCTGGTATGTTAATATATCAATAGCTTAGTCATTTGTGTTATTTGTTTATTTTCAAATATTAACTTATTTATTAGGTGTTGGAGGAAACCCTAAAAACTGTTTGCACTCAATTACTGATATATTGGATGAATCACTGAAAAGTCGTAAGAATGGAACCGTTTGTAAACATCATTCAAAATTATTGGAGTTATGCTATCAGTTAATATATATATTAGTTTCAAGTCATCAAACATATAAACCAGTTTTTGTATATTTAAAATCCCGTAGTGACTTTATTTTACGTCATGCTTCTACATTGCCATTTTACACAGACACTTCTAGCAAAAAAGTCAACCGTTAGTATTATTGAAAATTATTTATATAAATATATAAATTATTAATTATTAACTTAAGTTAAACTATAATATAGGTAGTGAGTTAATACAAATGAATTGGTTGCTACGTATAATTGCTGTTGAGATAAAAATGCATGGGCATCGAAATTTGCCTACAACATTGGTCTTATTATTCAATAGACCTATTGAGAAAAAGAACAAGTAAAAAATATTTAAATATCTATATTTCTTTATAAAATATAATTTTTAATAACATTTTTAAGTGTTCTTGGATCCGAATTATTGCAGTCCCAATCATCCAACAATTCATTTGAACATTCAACATTGAATAGAGACCCCGGTAAAATAATTTAAATAATTGTTTAGCTAAATACTTATTTTGTTAATTGATCCCAATTTTTTTTTAATATATCAAGATAATGGTAAAAAGTTACTGAGCTTGTTAGAAATTGTGAACCTTGAATTTGAATTAACTTTTGAAGATTTGCCCAAACTAAAATATATAGAACCAACAATTATTAATCAAGTAATATAGATCATAATATTATATTTGTCAATATTAATAGTGTGAAATACTAATTGTATTTCAGTTAATAAGCAAGTGTGAAATTCCGGGTAAAGTTCCATTAATAGATGCTAAGCAGTTGCATTTGATACTGATGAATGATTTAAAATCAATTGATAGTTCTTCAATTGTTAAAACTAGTTTGCTCCAAGAAATTCAAGTGAGTAATATTATTTACTTTGTTTGTAATTAACAAATAATATTTTTACATTTCAGGAGTTGCTAGAGTATGCTGTAAGAATGAATGATAAGCGCCTCCGAGTTAGTTGTATGGTAAAGTATATTGATGCCTGGCATCAATTGACTGCTGTTATATGCAACATGGCTAATTTACCATTTATGGAGTTCCAACAACATTTCAAATTTATAATTGATCTTTTGATATTGCTACAAAGCAAGGTGAGCAACTTATAATAGCAATCAAACATATCATTAAATTTAAATACGTTTTATTAACTGCCTTTTTAATATCTATTTAATAAAATCATAACATAATAATAAAAATAATAATTAATAATAATGATAATAATAACATAATGCCTAACCAAGTATATCAAGTAAGCATGTAAAAAAGATTCCAAGTCAACATCAGCTTGAAAATTAATCAAATTATTACGATTAGAAAGCCATAGTGTCAAAATATTAAACATTTTTTGAATGTGTAATAAATTCAATAATATATGTAAATAAAACAAACCCAAAGACCATATTATAGGGGAACACATCTAATTATGTGGCTCCTTTTCTTAAGGTAAATACATAAATTAGATTAAACCCCATTATATCAAGGTCAGAAACTGTTCTAGGTCAATTGAATAATACCAATACGAATAGTACATAAAGTAGTCATTAAATGTCATTTTTAATATATATTCTTCATTTTTATTTTAAAAATCTACCCATGATGAATAATATTGATGAAAAAAATATTTATAATGATGTATAACTTGTTAGTAAAATAATAAAAATAAAATGTTTGTCAATGTGATTGTAGATTGTTTGGTGGGTTGTGAGCAATACATCAAAGATACTCTGTATGTGTAATATGCTAACCTAACTATATGTAATGTGTTAACCTAACTTTTACGATTATGAAAAGCCGTCTTCAATCGCTGTTCATATGGTTTTTTTGAGTGTTTGTTGGACGTGTCCTTAGAACTCCTTAATAGCTCGGTATCTACCTCAACTTTGTTTTGCTTCTTCTGAAGTTCCTGAGTAATAGTAAACAGACCAATATAATCCCACCCTACCAGTTAATACTACCGCCGATGCCAAACCTTCGCATGGTCAGCAATTATCCATTTTAAACTTTGAAGTTATATGAGTTTTTAAAGTTATTGTACGGTGATCATATCTGTGCCATATAATTATATAAATACGAACAGAGACTGCGTGTATATTTGATGGCTCAGTTAAATTTACACAATCGGTAAGAGTTCCAAGTGAGGTAGCAATTGAGCTACCCAAAATGATCGTGTTGCCAGGAAATAAAATTATTGAAACATTAAATTTGTACAAACAACAAACCTATGAAACACGTCATTGCTCTGTGTATTGCCCGTCAGACATTCTGGATAGCTTATCTATTAACGGATTTGACGCCTAATCATTTCTATTATTTTACAAATACATTTAACTTTATTAGGTATAAATATTTTTTTTACTAATACTATTAACATAGAATAAATATATCAATATTCATTATTTGCATATTTTTAAAATAATAATGGAGAATTAAAAGTGACAAATGACTAGGAGCATACATCACAAAATATTTTCTTTAAAATCAGATGTAAAAAAAGATATTAAGAAATGTGGAATAGCCGCTTGACGTCATTGGGCCCGGCTCATCGTAATTTCCTATCTTATACATGTAAAAGTTCCTAGCTTCACTCTATTTACCAATCTAAAAATTTTATTTTTGAAAGTTAGTTTAAGGATAAATGTTTGATTTTATGAGTTTAAGACAATAAAAGTACCGGAAATTCAATATTTAGTTTAGCTTTTTAAATATTAATAAATCTTTAAAGTGAAGTCATTCAAATAAAAAAAAAATTATTGTGTTTTGTGTTCCTTTAATACATATTATTATTTATTGCGTTATCCTATCAGTATTTTGGTGAGTAAAAATAATTTCTTATCATATCATTATTTTATAAGTTACATCTAAATATGTAAATCTATTCTGAATTATAATTTTAGGTGATTCTTTATCCAAAAATGTCAGATTTATCTACACTCATCACAAATTCTCATTTACTTTTGTTAATACATTTGAACAATACCATATACCAACATTTAGAGCTTTGTGATGTAAATCCTGAAATGTATTTAAGGTCATTTTTTACTGGACAATCTAGTGTTTTCTCTAGCATGTTTCAAAATATACTTAAATGTATACAACTATCAGGTATGTTCTTAATCATGTGTTATAAATTAATAATGTACCTACTATTATTAAATTATTTTTTTAGGTTCACAAAAATTACGAACTAGCTTATATTCATCATTAATAGCATTGATTAATCTTATGGCTACTTACAGTCGAACATTAACTAATGGAAACTTTAAAGAAAACAGTATTTTATTTACTGCTACAAATAAACAGATTCTTAATTCCAAGTCTATTGAGTTCATTAAGTCTGCACATTTTGACCAATACTTAAGTGTTCAAATCTTGGACATAATTTGTGTTGACTTGACATCTGGTCATGATATATGCAATGTATTTATAATTTTATATACATTTAATAGTAAATTCCAATTCTGTTTTAAGTATAACTTATATTTTTAATTGTTTTAGATACTATCATATACAATATGTGAACTTTTGATTGATATCCATCCAACATTTATTAGTTATATATCTGATAAAGGTTACCTCAAAAACATTATATCTAGCCTTTTAGAATCAGATTCAGAACTCAAAGATTTGATTTCAACAAAAAATAAAACCCTGAAACCCATTTATGTATATGAAAGTAAAATGGTAAATTTACTTTTTAAATTTTTAACTTCATATTTTAATAATATTTTATACTTTAGAGTCTTTTAAATAAAATTGCTACTTACAAGACTGGCGCTGATGCTTTACTTAATCATCAAGCTATAGCGTGTTTGTCATTAATGAATGCAATTGATGCTCATCCAAATTTAGAAGCAAGGTAATTTAATAAAATTATCATAATTTAAATAAATATAGATTTCTTACAAAGTGTTTATTCTGTGATTTGAATTCATATTTTTAAAAATGACATAAGATTTTGGTACTGGAAATTTGTTTTATTCTTCAAATTGAGGGTGGTTCTGATGGTATTTTTAATATAGTTGATTCTATAAGAAATTAATAAGTTCCTAATACTTTAATTGATAATTATAAATTTAAACAGGAATATTTGTTCTAAATCGTAATTGAAGGGGCCGTGCATTCATTTCCCAATACTTCTCAGATAATAAAAAAAAACAATCTTAATTTTTGTATCTATCTTGTCTTTTGACCTGAACTTAGTATTCATTAATACGATGTAAGTACATTAATTTTCTATAAGGGTTGTTTGTCCTGCCTCTGTCTTGCAAAGACATTTGTAATTATTTTCCTTATTAATTAATATTATCAAAACCAGATTTTTGATGAAAATTAATTCGTCTTGTTTTTGCACAGTTGGAGTTAACCAAGTTCCACTGTATTATTATCAATGAATAATTAAAGATTTGTTACAATATATTTTGAAATTATGTTAATAGATTTTTGATACAAATAATTACTATCATGAAATTTAAATCAAATAGAATCAATAACAAATTCATATATATTTTAAAAAAAAACATTAGATGCTTAAAATTAAAAACTAAAATAATTGGATTTCAACTAGGATTGACATAATATGTATAATATGTACTTAAATCATCAAGTGGAATATAGAATATAGAATATAAATTATTTATAATTATTCATTCTTATATAATGTTTAATTTTAGTTGTAAGATAAACTTGTAAATAAAGTTAAAATTTTGATTTTATATTAATATTATTTTACATGCATAATTTGTATATAGTTTCAAACGTTCTATAAAAAAATCAATGCCGGATGAAGGTGATAGATACATGATGATATGTTCACCAGCAATGTGTTTATGCCAAACAGTTTTAAGTACACAGGGAAATACAAATATGACTTCTATCCTCCAAGTAATTTATTTATTCTAAATTTAAGAATATATTTGTAATTTTAATTATTTTTTAGGTTGTCTTTTATTTAGTTAGTCATCGCGACACAGTGAAAATTGCTCTTACTAATCCAGCACCATTGTGTGAGCAATGGTATCTTAAAGAACTTTATCAATTAACATCTTTGTTTGTTTATATTACTAATGATGGTAAGTCATAATACAAATAATCACATTTCTATTTTTATTTGCTATTGAAAAGTTTCAAATTCAGTACAATGTTGAAATATTGTGACAAGATTGGTGAGTATTACATGAGTATCAGTGTATCATAAATTCAGCTATTTGTCACAAAAAAAAATGTGAAAAACCCTATATCCATTATGGTTTTCTTATAATTATATGATAGCCAAGTAAATTAATGAATTGTAAAACTTAAATAGATACAAATTCGGAAATCAATTCAAGTGGTGACAAGGATATTGCTGGATTATTTTATCAATATAGTATGTTATTGCGAAGAACTTTAAAACGATTTTGTCTTAATTCATCCGTAATGCTTAAAAAATGTTCTGAAGAATCTAATCCAAATTATGATGAAACAAGTGTTACTTTATATTTAAGAGTCAGTATATATTCATATTTTTATGCTTGTATATTTTTCAGTAATATTACTAATTGAAAATGTTTTGTGATTTTATCTATTAGATAACATTAAACTTATTAAATTATGTATCAAATTTAATGGATGGTGGATTAGCGAGTGGTCAGAAATTTAAAAGACCGATTTTGGATATTTCTGTATCCACTGATTCAGTAATCGAAAATGAATCTCATGGTATATAAATTAAGACCTATTTTTTTTATTTTATCAATATAACTATTTATTTTAGGTGATTTTAAAACTGGTAACATTTTGTCAATGAACACAATTATCACAATAATGGTTGATACTGTCGAACATTATTTTGTGCAAGTTAATACTGAAACTAAGGCTGAAAATGGAAAATCGCCTATTCAAGTAACTATATAGTATATTTTATATATTTTTATTTTATTTTAAAAGAGTAAAAACCAATATGTCTAATTAATATTGTAGTCAAACGTTTTGATCACTATTTTTTTCTCCAACATGTGTAAAAAATATTTTTATTTTTTTTAATATTTTATATGTATTTTCTTTTTATAATAAAGAAAGTTAGAAAAACCTGTAGAGAATTAATTAAAATTAATAATTTTTTTAATAATTATTTATCATGATTTTATATTTTTAATATTCATAAATCTGTATATTAACCCATTAGCGCCGAAATTTTTTATTTTTTTTTTAAATTTTTTTATTGGTCAAATTCCCAATGAGAAATTAGCTTCTAAAAATAGGTCTACCTATGTTGCCATATGGCAACGCACGGCGCTAATGGGTTAAATATGGTGGGTAAAAGAATTAGTTTTTTTAACGTAATAAAAGTTATAAAATTGAAATATGTACACTCAAGCGTTGATTATCCACACTACAAAATGTTGTACCCATTTATCTATAGATTTTAATTATATTGTTTGAATTATAAAATAATAATAAATTTTAAGATTTTTTTATCTATTACGACTCACTTTAAAGTAGATAATCTATTATCATAGTTAGTTGATTTAAATCACAGTTGACGAGCATTATCTGCCCTCTCCTGGTCCCAATTAGTGCAAATAATCAACACTACTGTATATGAATTTTAAAGTTGTGTAATTAAGGGGAGTTACAGTGGTATTTGTTGTCTCCATCTTACAAGTGTATAACATAGCAAATTGTACTCTCGGCATATTACATTTATCTCCTTTAGTTTAAAAATTAGAATGAATTGTCCTCTTAAAAAATTTAAAGGTAAGATTATTATCTGGGCAATGGCATAGGTTTTTTATTATATTTTAATTTTAAAGGGAGTTATGAGTATTTTAAATCAGTAAATTGTTTGTACATCTTAAAATACTCATTCCTCGCTTTAAAATTAAAATAACTAAAAATAAGAACCCTATGACATTTACTATACATATAATTATCTTATCTTTAAATTTTATAAGAGATCAGTACACTCTAACTGCTGAGCGTACAATTTGTTATGTTATGCATTCGTAAGATGGAGATATCAAATGTCACTTTAACGTCACCTTATGACACCTATCTTCTCAGTGATTTATTGCATGTTTATTGGTCATTCATTATTGTGTTTGGTTTTTTTTATTTATTGCTTTATTTTAGTTATTTGGTGAAAGTAGCAATGAAACTGAGATAGAAAATAAGGATATTGGTGACCAATGTCAACATATACTTTGTAAACAAATAGTTGAAGTATGTCTTTATATTTTGTGGGTTCACACAAATTATTATTTTACTCAAAGTCCTGTTCAACTTTTTCATAGTCCTAAAGGATTAAACAGTAAGTGTATTTGATTATACATTTCAAAATTAACTAAAATTGTGTGATTCTTGTTAATTTATCAATTAGGATCAAGAAGTTCAAACAATGATGATGATGGAGTAACATCTGATGAATTAAAAGTATTAAGACAGGAATTGGTGAAAGTGTTTAATAAAGCATTTCTTGAAAAACTTTATGCAACAAATGAAGTAAATATTTATAATACAATTATATTACTAAAATTATTATATTTACAAAGTATATCAAAAGGTCGCCACACTTGCATATGTTTTCTCCATCTTACAAACAATTATTAACATAAAAAATTTGAGTTCAGCAGTTCAAATGTTTTGTATTTAACGTTAATAATAATCTGGTTCCCCACAATGCAGGGCTCAGCTCGCAATCGTATCCAACCTTGGGTATGCATGTCACAATTTGTGTGGCTGTACCTTTAACACGTTCATAACAGAACTGCGCCGTAATGAACCTACCAAGATCTGACATACCTTACTATTCGCTTTACTTTGTGCTGTGGGAAGCTGGGTTTAGGGTTATTATCAAACTTTAGAGGACATTGTACCCGCATGTGTTATCTCCATCTTACTAACGCATAATGCATCAAAATGTACATTCAATACTTCCAATTTTGTGTTGTTAGATTAAATATTAGAGTGAATTGTTATTAAGTGATCTGTTATCAAACTTAAATTTAAGAATATTATCAGTTATATCTTGTTTTGTATTCACAATATTTTAATTTTGAATTGTGTTATGAGTATTTAATATTATTTATGTAAAATATTAATATTGGAAAATTCTCATAAATCACTTAAAAGTTAAATTATTGTAAAAACCAACAAAAGAACACAGATAATGTTCTTACATTTAAGTTTGATAATAGATCACTTGATAACAATTCGCTTTTAATATTTAATCAAAAAACACACAATAGGAACTGCTGGACGCACAATTTGGTATATTATACTTTATTAAGACAGAGACAATATATGCAGTAACAATATCCTTTTAAAGGTTAAATCATCCTTAGATAATCCTCAAAATCATTTGTGTTTTATCATGATATTTCTATTTGTATTCAAGTTATGAACAGTTTTAAATTGTAATATTTTACACACCCTTAATTTGCTGAAAAAAATTTAAATATTGTATAAACAAAATATGGTAAAACAGGTAATATCTAAACTTTAAGTTTTATCTGAGTTAAATTCCATCAGATATTAAATTGTACTGCATAAAGATGCAAATACTGTTGACTAATTATCCGCTTGTAGGTACATTTGTAATACAGAGACATAATATGGGGATATATTCTTAACAGTGTTCTATAATTGAGAAACAATGGCGATCATTAAAAACACAACATACAACATTTTATCAGAAACATAATATATTATGATTCTTATTTAGGATTTTAACATCAAGTTAACCACGCATTATACGTATATATTATAATATCTATTACCCATCTACTATTTGACCAATTCTCAAATAATAATAACACATAATATGTCGAATAAGTGTTAAACAAATTAGTTTATACTTGATTTCAAAGTTATTTATTTATTAGTTTCATATTACTTATATACAGGGTAATTTGCCAAGCATGCTCACCTCTTTTTTAAAATAATCATGCAGTTAATCAAAATATAATTTTTATAATTTCTAAATATACTTGAACACTTTATATTCAAATTATTCAGGATTTTTATACTACTAAACTTAGGCCTTAAAGAGTTTCTAGTGGAGATTTTGTTAACATTTTCAAAATATTTATTATTTAGATAATATCTATTATATTAGACTCTTATTTTAATATTTATATATTATCACAAACCTCTTGATACTGTTATACGGTACGTGGTAATGACTTTCAAGTAAATGGAAATAACATAATATGACAAAATTAAAAATAATATAATTATATAATTATATTATGTATGTTAAATTTTTGGAAAAGATTAGTTTAACCATTGGTTATACATACTTATTTTACAATATATTATAATATATTAATATAATAGTGGCTATGCATGTCCAAAAGCTCAACATAATTTGCCAACATTATGTTTGACAGGAGCGTCCCCCTCCCACCATCACAACATTTTATAGATAATGATTATATAAAATGTTTGTTGAAAAGTTCTGGGAATTATTTCCTTTACCAATTAGATTAGTTTACTTCTAGAAACCATGCTCAAATTAATAAATTGAAGCATTTTAGCATTAAAACTGGCTCAAAAGGTGATGATATAAAAATAATAATAAATCACTCCACTTTGAATTAAAAATCAGGTGATTGTGATGTTCTGTAGTACTTCTATTCATAGTCAATGAAACATTTCTTAATATTCGTTTCGAGATTACTACTTTGTGATCTGCTACTGTCTGACATACTTCTGATTTATTTAAGAATACAATATGTTTAGAATTGTTTAAAATTATTTACTTAAAAAAAATATATATATATATATTAATGTTTAATGAATATTTACAATTTTGTTACAGGACAAACCTGATGATAGTTTTATACATTACATGGTTCACAAGATAAAAAAACTGTTACAATTTGTTGATTCTAAAAGATTAAGTAATTAAAATTAAGTATTTTTTTTTGTTTTTATTTTTTTTTTGTACATTTATATAAATTTTGTACTTGTGGCTTGTATTTTATACTAACCTAGTTATTATTATTATCCATATTATAATATAATTCTACTATTGAATTTGTGTTGTGTGTACCTAATGTTATGTGGCCCTTAGCTATACCATAAAAAATTTGAAGTACAATTAAAATTATATAAGTACCAAGTTATTAGTACCTTATAAAATGTATTATTATAGGTACAAGGTACCTACTGGACGAGTATTATTTTCATCAGCCAAACAAAATATACCTAAACGAACGCATGAACTAAAAAATCTATTTCTTTATACGGTTTTCAAATCAAAAGTATTTGGATGAGATTGAGTTAATAAATTGATATAAATCTTTTATTCAAATTCATGAGTTTTTAATTCACGATGATAATAATAATATTGTATAGACTCATACTATCCAAAATCAATAAAATAGGTACTAAGTACCTATAAACATTTAAAGGTTATCAATAATTTTTGAATTGTATAATATTGTGAAATATTATATTTTATCACGTTGTATTAAAATACGTTTAGAAACCAAGAATTTAGCACACTAGCTGCAGACTAAACTTTCCTAAGTTGTTAGTGTGTTGCTGTCAATTATTTAAACTGCCATTATATTATACTGTTACAACTGTAGTAAAACATAAACACATAAACTAAATTATAATTTTTTTTATCTGTTGACCCAGGAGGCTCATTATTTGTTATATATACCTAATATATAATATTCTATATACTTATATCGTCGATGAGCGACTAATATGTCTTATATCAAAAAACATGTATGTAGGTACTTATGTAGGTAGTTATGAAACCATGGATCAGGCGATGAAACGAAACCACTTCGACAGTAAGTTCGGCACACATTTGAAATAATAGCCTGATTTTATTTGTAAAATATATACGTGTACAGCTTCTAAATAAACATATAATAATATATTATAATAAGTATAGATATAGGTGCCTTCCCCGGTGTGGCACGTCATTTTTAACTTTTCTACAGAAGCGATAGTTTAAACAAATCAAATCACAATAGGCACCAAAGACGACTGCTAAAATGGTAATAGGTAACTACTAAAATAGTGAAAATAAAAAAAATAAAATAATAAACATTATCAGGAGTTTTTCATAAAAATCTCGAATAAACTTTTGAGTACTGTAAAATGGGGTGAATTGCAACGATTTTTGAGTTTTACCCAACTTTGATCTTCATTTAAAAATCAGACATTTATAATACCGTTAAGGAAAACACTTTTTTAGAATTTTCGTTACCTTGTTTATCATTATAAGTATAATTCAGAAATGTAACTTATAAACTTTTTTTGTTATATTTTTTTTTATGACTGTTGTAATTCACCTTCAATTGGGATGAATTGAAACATGAACTTAAAAATCATGTTTTATTCATTTAAAACAATTCATGGGTGAATTGAAACACTAAATACATAATTTTAAAAAAAATAGGTAATTTTTAAAATCATTGGTATAATTTTCAATTTTTTCTGATTATTATAGGTAAAATAATAACTATCTCATGTATAATAAACATAAAAATATAAAAAACTTTGACAATTGTCTGTCTTTTAAATCAGTTTATTATTTTATAAATTAAAAAAAAAAAAAATTTGTACCTTCTAGTTACATTATTAAAATATATACCAATTACAAATTTGTTTCGTCACAATTTATAATATTTGATGGTGGTACATTTTCAATAGATTTTTCTAAATGATCAAAATAATTATTAATTTGTTCTGGCGAAACAGCAGCCCTTGCCCTTTTTATGTTTTGACAAATTCTAGGAGTAATGCTCTTTGCATGTCTTTTTAAAAATGACAGTGCAAACTCCTTACCAGGCATGTTGTCTTTAAACCTTTTCATAACTATACCTTTTTTATCACATATATGTTTTACAATCATTCTTAAGTCCATATTATCCATAGGATAGCCCCATTCTGCACATTTAACTAACCTTTCTACAATCATATTTTCCATATCTTTACTTAAAACTGTTTGACCTCCAATTTTTTTCATTTTACCATCAGCTTTAACCCATCTTTGAAGTGTAGAGTAATGTACATTATTATTTTCAGCAGCGTTTCTTAGTGACAATCCACTTTTTACTTCTGCAGCAGCAGCATTTAAATCATCATCGTTTCTTTTTCTATATTGTTTCCCTCTGGGATCGGAAATAGGTATATTATCTGGGCATCTAAAAATGAAATGTTTTCTATAATTATGTTCAATTAAGTGTAAAACAACACATTTTTAGTACTGTTTACGTTTTTGTTGCAAATCACCCCGTTTTTGGTTAAATACTGGAAATTAATGATTCTAAAATGTATATTAAATTGAAAAATGTACTTACGTTGTTGTATTTTAAAGTACGGAAAAATGTACAATATTTTCTTTACAGAAAAAAAAAATGATTTTGATAGTGACATTTTAACCATGTCAACAGAACTAGGAATTTGGAGGCAACAAAATGAGTAAATTGATAAGCGTGGAGAAAAATTTTGCTTTGGAGGTAGAAATAATCCGATCACGATGTTTTTTTTTTTAATAGATAACATATTTTATCACAATTAATAAAATTCCGATATTTTCAAAGGGATAACACTAAAATTGAATATTAGTATTTAGTCGACAATAATAAACAAATTACTGAAGACTTGTTGCAATTCAGCTTAGTAAAGCATTGTACAATGCTCGCGTACAGATCTTTGTAAATGCGTTCCAAAATAATAAACCTAATATAATATTAACGTCTGCGTCATTCCATTGGACTGAAGAAGTAGAATAATATATTGTGCCTGCACAATAATAGCTTGCATTTTAAAACAGGTAGGTGGGTAGGTACTATGTGTAGGTACATAATAATATAGTAGCAGATATATAGTGCTCTCACATAAAAACATACATACACACACACAAACACACACACATTATACATTCATACCTATAATATATTTTTGTATACACACAAATTATACAGTAGTCGACCCCTCCTCCCCGATGCGGCGATGATCGTATGTATTGCGTTATATTATATTGGCTAATCGCTTGGTCTCTCTCCGGCTCTCCCCTCGCCAATACCGTCCCTGATCGACGAATAAAATATTATTAGTAATATTATATTTTATTGTTGACGTCGATCGTCCTTACCCCCTATTAAGCCTCTACATATTATTATAGTATCTATAGTGCCCTACCCTTACCCTTACCATTGATTATAAATACTATAGACCGCTCACTGCAGCACAAATATGCTGCGATGATTTACTAGCGGTTCCAGTGTTATACCATCAAAAACTGACTAGGCTTCCTACCCAACCACTATATAAATGGGCGGTCATAGGAGTTTGGTCTCCACTCTGCTTGTCTCCAATCTTCACGCTCATAACACATTGATAATGTTAAAATATCGTTGTTAAATATATGTTTCACTTATTCGTGCTCATTCGTCCGTACTTAATGTTTTTAGTGGTGTTTTTTAGTGTAGTTTTTTTTAGTGCTGTATTATTCTATTATTTATAGGTAAGACCGATTTATGCATTTAAATGTTATAAATACATGCAATGCACTAAAAGTCTGATTCACTTAAAATAAAATGCAAATAATTTTGCTTATACAGCTTTTTATTTTGGTAAATTAAAATCAAAACTTTGACAAAATAGCATTAAATACACAAAACATGCAAATAAATTTTTTTATACAGCTTTTTATTTATGGAAATTTATAAAATCAAAACATTTAGTGATTAAAAAAAATAATAACTACAATATTATATACAATAATTTTATGATTATGATTGTGATAAAAAATATAGTTTTTGTTATTGGAAAAAAATTGAATATGTTCCATATTGATCTCAGTTAAATTATGACGGCGATTTGTGACAATATGTTTGTATGCAGAAAAACTTCGTTCCACATCAACACTTGTTATGGGTGCATATTTAAAACTTGACAACATTTCCGGGGAAAAGTGTTTGATAGAAGAACTTAAGTCAACATTCTCACCTTGGTGTATTTTAGAAATTTCTTTTAAAATTAGCAGGCCTTTGTTTTTTTTAATAATGTCGGAACATTTTTTTTTAATTAATACGCTATTTTCATTTTCTGAAAGATTATTGATAGCATTTGTAACTTGTTCAAATATTTCTAAAGCATTTATGAGTAGCAAACCTGAAGTCTCAAGCTTTTTAATACTTTCAACAATAACCGAAAAATTTGTTTTAATATAAGTTAAATCGTTAATTATATTTGATTTAGTTAGAATTTGCTTACAGTTTTTAATGCTTTTTACATCGTCTTCTGGTAGGCTTTGTATAACATTTTTAAAATTTTCGAAATTATCTGCATAAAATATTGCTGATTCTAACCAAGCACCCCATCGTGTTATTATAGGTTGGGGCGGTAATGGTTTATTAGGTAGCATTTCATGATATAATTGAATTCTATAAGGAGCTTTCAAAAAAATCTTTTTTCCGTTGTTAATTAAATCGTTTATTTCATGAAAAATATCCATAATATTTTCTGCAATCCGATGAATCCCGTGAGCAGCACAAGTCACATGAATAAGATTGGAATAAAATGGTTTTAAATTTTTGGCAGCCTTAACCATATTATATGGGGCTGCATCGGATAACATTAACAAAACTTTTTCGTCATTACCTCCCTCTGGCCATAATATTCTAAGACAATCATTTACAAATTTTGCTATAGTATTATTGTTTGTTTTTTCAAGAACTTTAGATGCTAAAAGATAAGATTTTGATGGTGAATCAACATTTAACTTTCCAACAATAAAATTCGCAACATATTTGCCTCGTGGGTCAGTAGTTTCATCGATACAAAAATATATGAATGAACTTCCTATGTTTTCTCGTATTTTTGTTAAAATATCTGTGTAACATTTGATTACATAATTCTTTCTTAGGGTACTTTCAT